AGTATACATCAGAAACTTAAGAGGTTTTAAATAAACAATAAATTGTCATTTTACGATGTTCTTCAACATCCCTTTAATCTTAAATGTTCAGCAAGAATTAGATTTCTGCCTTTGATTATTGTAGCTGGAATGTAATTTTGTGACTTAATGATAGGAAACCAGTTTTAATCATTTATTCTGTTTTCTTTCGAACAAAAATGAAAATATAGATAACAATCCTCCTGTTTATACATTTTAACTACACGTTATTATTTAATGGTATTTTTTTTTATTTTGACAGAATAGGTTAATTCTTTAAAGACAACTTATTAGACTTCTCATCAGGGCCGTAGCTAGCCCCATGTTTCAGCGGGGGCTAAACAAAATCTTGGGGGGGGGGGCTTCATTTTTTTTATATTGAGTATAAAAATTCCAAAAAGACATGTTTTGAATTCCTTCCTGCGAGGAGAGTGTTAAACAAAACAAGCAATTACAAAACACATAGGTATTTACAAATAAAAAATATTTTGATTAAACAAAAGAATAAACTCTACAACAACAAAATATAAAACTTCTTTTCCTATGAATATTTAACTGGTTGAGGGTTGAGTTAGTAAAAGCGGCATCAAATATGCCAGAGTTAAAAAATTATTTTTTATCAATTTTCAGAATAATTGCAGTTTCCTATTGTTTAAATTATTAAACTCAACAAGCAGATTTTCAATATTTATGTTTTTTGTTCTCTTTTTCAAATGCTAAATGAGTAAGGTTTGCCAGTCTCGGATGTAACATTGACTCCACTGAAGTGGCCGAGGTCTATCAATTCTAGTAAGGGCAGAAAAACTGGATTCACAAAGAGCCGTACTACAGGCGAACGTCCGCCAAGTCGCTAGAAATTCATAAGTTTCTTTAAAAGCAGTGTTTTGCCTTAAAATACACTGAAAAATATCGGAATTCTCTGTAACATTCTCGTTTTTCTATCGATTTATATATTTCTTGACGACTTCTATTTCCGCAGCACTTGTCAATTGAATGCCTAGTTCGACCAGTGGTTGATATTTTTCAATATCTAATTTTTCTCCTGACATAGTAGCTTCAATTAAATCATTGTTGTCGTTAAATCTACGTCTTAGCTCTACTAATATTATGTCAAGAACTTCAAAAAATATTTGTTTGAAATCTGCTTCGCTAACGACTGTAGATCTCATAGGCTCGGTAAGTACAAAATTTTCTAACACTTTGCTGGGTTTTCTTTTTCTTGGCGGTAATGCGTCTTCTGAATCAATAATTGAAAATTGTACGTTCATTATATTAACGAGCCGGTGGTACTCATCATTATTTCGCTTTTTTTCAAGCGTTTGCACAACCGCTGAGACTATTTTCATCATGTCAGTCAGTGTGGCCTCCCTGCATTGTAGAATTTTGTCCGTGCGTGTACTGCTATCTATCAGTAAGTAGTTTTAAGTTTTAACAAAATATCTTGGTTTGACACTACAGGGAAATTAGGTCAATTACCGAAATAAAATTTATGATTATCCGTTTTCCGATTTCCAGTTGCAATTTATTTTCTGTGGCTTTGAGTTTATTATATTTTGATTAAAATGGACAGTAAGCAATAAGTAACTGTTAATAAATAAAGTATTTTCTTGTAAGAGAATATAATATAAGTGACTCAGAACCATTACTAAAAATATATTGATATAACTACTATAAAATTTTTATAATTAGTACATTTTTTCCCAATTCACATTTTCCAAAAAAAATCAGTACAATTTTAAAAATCGTCGATGTGACTCATTGTTTATTGTTTGCATTTTTCAACGGCCGTTAATCGCGCTTCTATATGTGGGCAATTTTTTAGGGGGGGCGCAGACAAGCTTTAGGGGGGGCTCAGCCCCCCCTGGCGCCCCCCTCGCTACGGGCCTGCTTCTCATACTGTTGTCTGCCTATCTTTTATTATTGATATCTATTGATTAAACTTAGTTTTTTTTAGTTTAAGCGACAAAAATATATAATAATATTAATTTATAGTTTCACTTGTTTTAAAAATCCACATACTTTTATTAAAACTAACATATATACTTTTTAATTACGAATTCTAATAAAAATTGTATTGTCAGTATACGCCAAAATAGTCCATTAGTACATAAATGAATTGGCGCTGCTGTCATGCACGGAGCGAATACATAAAACCTAAAAGTAAAGTAACTTTAACTTTTTAACTTTGATAATAAACTAAGTTTTACGATTTTGTGGATGACCAGCCAGCATATTACATTGCTCTAGAGTGCTTGCAAGCACTCAAATATAATTGTGCTTGCAAGTTCTTTAGTGCTTGCAAGCCTTTTAAAGTGCTGGCAAACTCTTCTGAGTGCTTGCAAGCACTTTAAATGGCTTAAAATGCAAAATTCAATTACCAATTAATTACCCACATTTTATAAAGGGCGTCAATTACCAATTACCGAGCACTGTATTTTAAAAGTAGTTATAAAATGATTACTTTGTGTTATCAGAATTATCAAATTTTTATTATTCAACAATAGCTGAGATAGTATAGTTTTATATTATAACAATTAAAAGCTAAGAAAAAAGTGTTTACAGATGACCGGAGAAGTTGCGAGTTGCAAGGCAGTTTATTCTCCAATTAGTGCGCTAATTAATGAGGAAACCATCAACACAGGAGTAGGTAATTATTCGTACACATCCACGTTTGACTAACCGCCAATTATTATAAAGTTACATGTCAGCTAATGAAGGATCCCAAAAACACTAATAATTGATACGTGCAAACTTCATCACGATAAAACTCGCTGGTAGGTGTCTAATAAGAAAGAATTTTTGACAAAGTTAAAATGTCTAACCAATTAAAATAATGGATTAGTTTAATACAAAGCTCTCAGAAACCCTACATACTGCGTCGAAAACAACATTTTTACCCCCTATTCGCTCCGTGCGTGACAGCAGCGCCAATTCATTTATGTACTAATGGACTATTTTTGTACATACTGACAATACAATTTTTCATAAAATTCGCAATTAAAAAGTATATATGTTGGTTTTATTAATTAGGTAAATAAGAAGCATTCAATGAAATAAATCGACTGTCAAAGTGATGCCATGTAGTCGCGGCTTGCTTTGTTTCATATTTTGAAATACAATTTCAAGCTTGAAATTTTTATTTAGGATTTATTAACCGACTTCAAAAAGGAAGAGGTTCTCAATTCGTCGGTGTATATATATTTATTTATTTTTTGTTATGTATGTCCAGCGATAATTCTTTAACACGGTGTCCGATTTCAATGAATATTTTTTTGTTAGAAAGGGGGTACTTCAGGGGTGGTCGCATATAAATTTGGTCAACATCTAATAATTCGGTGTATGATAAAATCTTCAAACTCAAAGAATGGGATATAGAGCAACTGAATATTCTCTGATTAAAAATTAGACGATTAAACGAAACATGCTTAGGTAAAATGTTACTAGTTTCCGATTCAGGGTACTATAGATAAAAATTCAAAAATGGCACGCTTTAATTTTTTTGACTTATTATAATTTTACTAAATTCCGCCAACATTTTAAGTGTCATAAAATACTTTTATTAGCAAAAAAAACAATTAAATTAAATTTGCCAGTGGCGTGCGGAATGAATAAATAACACCCCCTTCTAAATTTAACGTCACTCTCTAAAACTTATGTGGACTATAATTTTAATTTTTTTGTGGTTTTTTAAATAAAGCATGTACTCTTGTTGGGAACTTATAAAGTATTTGGGTTTCGAGATTTTTGCATTCAAAGCTGGATTCCCTTTATTTTTTTAAATTTACTTTTTTATTGGGTTTTAAGAGTACATGATTTATCTAAAAAAGAAAAAACTTCAAAAAATTTAAAATTATAGTCCAAATAAGTTTTTGGACACTGGCGTAAAATTTAGAACGAATAAAAGTATTACTTGCTCATACCGTACGCCAGAAGCAAAGTAATTGATTTTTTGCTGATAGGTGTATCTTGTGCTAAATTTAATCAAATGAAATGAGTAATAAAAAAGAACAGAACACAAAAACTAAAAATCAGTCTAGCCAAAATATAATCCACTAAACATGGCGGCCAGCATAAAGGGGGTCATTTTATTGTATTGACAGCATACCCATAGCGGCATCTAGACTCTCTAAGAGCTATCGTTTAATATCATGATACTATAAAAAAAGGTATTATATTACGTAGATTGATACTACACGTCACGATGACGTAATGTGGTGGTAGGCGTGGCTTTTACGAATTTGACGTATTAGCTGATCGAAAACAGCGCGCGAAAATACATTTTAATCAGTTCATGACCAATCAAATAACCATATTCCACACTACAACAGGTCATGCACGAACTTGACGAGATTTTGTCGGCTAAATATCATACCTGTGTATTTTTTTTGTATCATGGTTTAATATGACGGATGTTAAGATTCATAGTTAAAATAATTAATACAGTGTCCCAGATTGGTGCTGCATCTATTGCTATCTCGATTATTATAAGAGCTACAAAATCGATTAAATGGCAATATTTCTCAGGATGCTATTACCTTTTCAGAACTGCTATTACCTTTTGTCAATTTCTTTTGGTTTTTGAAATAACCGTGAAAACCGAAATGGTGCATTTTCGATAAACCCCCGTATCTCAATTATTTGATAACACGGTATTTTGGTTTAGACATTCTATAGGCACTTTATTAAGGCAATAATAAGAAAACAATTTATAATAAAAATAAAGCAAAATAATATATCTCACCATTTTTGAGATAATGAATATAACTTTGTTTTCTCTTGTGGATACCATATCGTCACCGATACTGCAGTAGATCGTACTTAAGTCATAAATATCCTTTTCAGCTTAAAATTTATTCCAAATCAAAAGCTTTTAACGTACTGCAGAAGCTTATATTCGATTATCCAATAATAAAGCGGCACTTAGAAATATCTCTTGTCTTTAAAAAACAGAACTTATAAGTTTTTATAAAAAATAATCATACCTGTATTGCGAATAATCCCATAGTCACTAATCCGATCCAACTGTGCAATGAATAGAAGTTTTTAATTGGAGGAACTTCTAGATTATGTGAGTCCAAAACCGCTATGAAACCAACAGCCACGCATGGAATGGCTAATGCATGGAATACTGTATGAAGGAGCTTAACGTAGATTCTTCGACAACATCTGCATATCCTATAGAGTAGTATAGCTGAAAAACAAATAAATTTAATACATATTTAAATGAAACTTGATTAAATAAATCTTATCTTTGGCCTTATTTAGGGTATAGAAGAGGAGTTTTTACTGAATGTTGTACTGAAAATATACAACAAATATGTTACGGTATTTCCAATATTATTATACGAGATTATTTTGATGAGCGACAAAAAACATAAATCCAACTGTAAAAAAGTCTTAAATGTCAGTTTAGTATACGAGTAACTATTCAAACGTGTAATCGAGACTGGTATTAGGTTGTATCAAAGAACTGAGAATACTGGCAGACCAAAATAGAGTAAAACTAGTTTGGGTGTCAGCTCATCAAGAGATCGAGAACAATGAAAATGCTGACGAACTTAGAAAAAGAGGGTTAGATACTAAAATCAAATATAAACCTTGATGTAACAAAAGAACAGTACGAGGTTTCATCAAAGACTATGTGTTAGGGATTTGACTTCGCCTTCTTATGTTAAGTAGGCAGATTCAAAAGAATAAAAAAGTATTAAAAATATTTACTTTATTGTTTGTTGTTTACGGCACAATATCTAAAAATCTTGATTAGCTATATCACAGAAAAACCACTACTGTTTCCCAAGCCAATAAAAATTCGAGTACTGGATTCGAATAAAACAACAATAAATGGCAGAATGTCCCAAAACAAGCACATGGGAAAACTTTCAGGGAAGACTATGTTCAAAAAGAACAGGAGAACTACAATCTATGATATGAACCAGTTGAAAACAACAACAGGACTCATAAGGGACACCAAAATAGACGTGTCAATTATGTCACAAGAAACCTGTAACAGTCAAACATATACTTTGCGACTGCAAAACATTGGATCGCAAAAGATAGACACATTCTGAACCACCACAGGTTGAACCAAGAGTCTATAGAACGAGCGGGACAAAGGTGAACAAATGTTAACAAAGGTGAATATGAACTAATATGATATAAAACACAATACGGTATGAGGCTCAAGTGTTATTGGAGACTATGTCAGGCGAGTCTAGAAAAAAAATGCTCCCTAATAACAAAATTACAATAAAGACAACAATCCTTACTTGGCTTGGTGTGTTGAAAGCATATATCGATCCAAAACATATAATAACTAAACTAAAAATAGTTAATGATGACGAAACTTGACGAAAGATTCGGACGCCTTGAAAGAACCTGCAGAAGCAGGGCTCGTTCTATAAAACGAGAATCATGGAATAAGGTCAGAAAGTTACATAGATCAATCTCCAGAAGCCCGTCTCAAAGACCAACAAAAAATAATTATGCCAGATATACTTCCCGGAGAAGCCGACTTTCTGGCAATGACCAGAAAGTAGTGCATCGAAGAGGCCGTCTCCATAGCAACGCAGACATTCTTTCCAAGCGATTCTGTTTAGAACGACAATGTTAGTACTGTAAAAGGCTCGAAAAACGAGAGGAACCGGTTGAAGAAGTTAGTCTTCAGGCAACCACTATCAAGCCAGAGGACGAGGACGAAGAGGAAATCACCATTGAAAGCCCGAGAAATGTGCAAAAGAAAGATAATGACTTGAAGGTTGTTCGAGAATACCTCAGAAATAAAGTCAGACCTACTTGGCAAGAGATAGCCAAATATAGAAAAGCTACTAAAAGGTACTGGACTCAGTGGGATTCCCTGCATCTTCACGACAGCCTATTGCATCGGAAGTAGGAGAGCTCCGATGGAGTACATGTAATGGCAGAAAAAGGCCCAAAACCAGAAGCCGAGGTAAAATAGCACAGTACCTTTCTGGAGAGACTTTCGCCATGTATATACTCGGACCACTTCCCTTAACAGAAAGAGGAAACAAATACTTGATGGTTATTATGGACTATTTTTCAAAGTGGCCCGAAATAGCGCCTAATCCTAATCAAGAAGCGACGACAGTTAAGTAGCAGAAGCATTTATGACGAACGTCATAGCGAAACATGGAGTCCCTCTGGAATTGCATTCTGATCAAGGACGAAATTTTGAATCCAAATTATCGCAAGAATTGTTGAAATTGTTATGGCGGTTTTCCATTAAACGTACAAAACAAAAACAAAACACAAACTCGTGTCGAGAAAAACAAAACTGCAATATTTCGCAAAATTTTTGAAGACTGGCGTGTTTTGCCACAGTTGGAGTTTTGTTTCTCGAGTCCCGCTCGGAAGCGGTAACATGAAAAGGTTTTAACGTGTTTTGAAACTCGAGTCTGTTTACTGGAAACGGTCGTGTTGTGTAGTCTAAATTTTGTACCAAATTGGTACCTATAGGTAAGTAAATGACGTATTTTTTTTATAGATAAGTAATTAGTAATAATTAATCTAATTTTAAACGCTGGATAAATTTATATAAGTGTAATAGCAGAATATGTATATATCTGGGTGGCAGAGATAGACTAGGTTAAGTCCAAATATTGTCCTTTTTAGGTTTTTTTGATGTCACATCTTACTCTGATAAAGCTTAATTTATAAATTTTATATGTTTCAACAAATTTTTTTTAAAGTTTTTGTCAATTATTTAATTTTTTTTCGTGGCTAAACGTTGATGCCTCGCCGTCTATATGGCTAAATTCAGAAGGATGGACGGTGAGGAATTCATGTAATGCCGTATTTTTGCGCGTTTAGACCTGTCCATTTACATGTATGCGAGACAATGCATTTGTGCTGGAGCGGCAGTTTCTGTGTGTTTGAGCTAACGTAAACATAATGGGTGATTTTGAGAAAGAAAAAAGAGATTAGGTGAACTATGGGATAATTGCTACAAAAACAGGAACATGCTAAAAATCGGTGTTGTATGTTATACTAAAAATAAAGAGCAATATGGGAGAGTTGCAGCACAGAACAAAACGCCCAGAACAAAATGGCACTGCATTTCATGCAAAGAAGTTACTGCGTTCATTGGTTTTCTTTTACAGAACATCGAACAGAAAAATTATAATAATATCATAATAATGGTTATTTTCTATGTTAAATTAAACACATTTATTTAGATTAGTTTTTTATAGCATGTTTCGTTTGGCTTTACATTTTGCTTAATAATAATAATATTTAAAACAAATAAAACACACTTTTATGACACACGATATGTCTTTTATTTTGAAGGCCAGCTAAACTTTTCTATTACTATAGACGGCTAAGAGTAAGCTCCTATATTTGTAGCATTATATCAAGACGTACTACGAAACCGCGCCGTCCTTGCTAATTTTCTGACTGTGGCTTCATATTGATGCCTCGCCGTCTCAAAGAAGACCACCAGTGAGGCATCCGTTAAATGGCACACCGTACTCAACGTGTTAAATTGAGATATCTAATGGTTTCTGTAAATTTTGTTTAACTGGATTAATTAAACGTACTGATTATTCAACTAATGCAATTGTCCAAAAACTGAGGTTAACTTATTAAATACTGATTAATTAAATTACCTTCATCACTGCCTTCGGACATTATTTATAATGAATATCTTAATTTATGTATAAATGGTTTTCGGTCACTTTCAAAATAAACAACTCTAATATAAATAATATTGAACAAATGTGCTTTGACTTCCTCGCAACAACCAGTGGAAAAGGACCGAAAACAAAAACAAAACTGTAACAAAATGTAGTCCGCTTGATGGAACCAAGAGTTTTTGGTTTGCCTCAGTTTTGTTTTTGTTTTTCAAGTTCCAGAAAAACACAAACAAAACATAAACTCAACTATCCGTTTAGAGGAAAACCGTCTTTAGGCATCAGGAAAACACGCACTACGCCTCTCCATCCACAGTCCGACAGAATGGTAAAAAGATATCATAGAACCTAATGCCAGTATTTTTCAATGTTCGTCTCTGAGAACTAAAAGGACTGGGACTCTTTAATTCCTCTATTTCTGCTAGCCTACCGACGTTCTGAACATGAATCGACCAGTTATACTCCATCTATGATAATTAGTGGAAGACAGAAAAAACTTTCCCATCATCTTCTTTTTGGAAGGCGGTCCTGGTTAAGAAGAGGGCCTTATACCTCCCACGTACATACAGAACTTAAGAGAATGATTAAAAATGGTATACGAATTCGCTCGGCAACGTTTGGAAGTCAATAGCGATAAAGCAAAAGCTAGAATCGACATGCATGCCACAAAGACACGTTTTGAGAGAGATAACCCAGTATAGCTGTACAGACCCAAATGCCGAAAAGGACTTTGTCAAAAACTATAGCGGAAGTGAGGCCCCTGTACCGTCCTCAACGACCTAATTTACCGCATTCAGTTGTCAGCGGGAAGTAAACCCAAGAATGAAAGGAGAAGTACAATGTCACTCATTACCCTACAGTGTGCTGCGGTAGTTTACAAGTAAAAGTATGAATAAAATAAAAAAAGAGAAGAGTCCACAAATTTCTAGAAATGTCATTCCGTGTCAAGAAGCATCTGGATAGTTCGAGAAGGTTCAAGGAGCTACATAAGTCAATGACTTAGAGCATATAAGACTAAGGTCGATGATACTGACGTGACAGTTTCAGTTTTATGACATGGTACGATAATGTGATAGTTGTATAGTTGAATTATAAAAGTTAAGTTGAAAATAAATTGAATTACCAAAAACCAGTGTAACAATATTTAGGAAGGGGTGGGTGGCTCAGTGGTAGAGTCTCTGCCTGTAGATCCAAGGGTCTCAGGTTCGAATCCCACCGTTGGCCGGGATTTTTTATTTATATTAATTATTTAAAATTAATTCTGATGCCTTGGTAGGATTCCCCACTCGACTATTCACTGTTGGGTTCTAATTAACATTGCTGTTCCTAAAGTGGCGCTAGGAAACAGTAACCAAGCCTAGACATTACACGAGGCTAATGACCTTAGCAGTCGATGCCGATGATACCAAAATAATAATAATAATAACAACAATAAAATTACTTTTTTAACTAAATGCCATAAATCTTGCTTTTTAAAAATTTAAAAATAAGGGGGTGGCTGTCACTTGGAGAGGGGGGATTAAAGAAGAGCAGGATTTTATAT